TAATACCTTGTGCTGGGACTAGTAGCTTAGGGGAGCGTGACCGGCATCCTGAGCCTTCCCCCTTAGAGTCTCAGGGTGGAGCACAGCCCTGGGTATCATTATTATTGTTATTGATGAGTTTCTGCTGGTCTCTGACCATTGCAGTGGAATTGCCTAGTCCAGGAGATGATGCTGGCATCTGGTGCCATTCCTGGGGGGCTGGATAAGATAGCTGACCCAAAGTCCTATTAGGGCTTAGTTGAGGCTTCAGCCATGTGTTCTCTGTAGAAAGGTGCCCACATCAAGCGCAGCCAGTATTCAGTGCCACCCCCCCTTGCCAGCAGCAGCAGAGAATCCAAGATCTTAATGGACCCTAGGTACTAACCTGGCCTCTCCTTTAGAGATGGCCTGGCCAAAATGGAGGCAAATTCATAACCTAGCTAGAACATTAACTAAAACACTGACCATGAATGGGCCACAGCCTCATCTGGTGTAAATCAGCAGAGCGTGATTGACTCCAGCACAGCTCGGTGGACGTCAGCTGAAGTTCTGGCCCCAGCCTGGGCGTTACATCATACAGTCATTAATTACGAACTGCACAGCTCTTCGTTAAAAAGAGTCAAATGTTTTGTTCAGTTAGGGGACAATCATGGTTCCCTTCCCTGAGGCTCTTGGCTGCTGTAGAAGGCTGCAGTAATGGCCATGATGGGATGGCAGACTGATGGGAGGATTCCTTCTTGCTTACCCCCATGCCCTTGGGATGCTGCAGAGAGAGATCCGCAATGCAAAGCCCAATTGCTTGAGCTGGGCACCGGTGCGGGGTCTGTGTCTTAGGCACCGAGAGCAGCAACCGCTCACATATCTCCAGCAGGGATGGAGCCTGGCAGGTCCAGCCAGGGGGCTGATTCCATGCAGCTCGGCAGAACGTGCTGTGGACACTCTTTGGAAGATTAGAGAACAGCGCGGGTCCCTCCCGTGTCCTGGCTGGCTGGCTCCTGGGAATGTTAGACAGGGCTGGTTCATTCTCGTCACCCAGTGTGAGGCTGGGCCCACGTGGCTGCGGTTTGCACCTCGCCCTCAGAGAAGCCTTGGCCTTGAGCTTGATGAGCTAGATCTTGCCCTCGGTTCCACCCGCACAGCCCAGCCGCTAATCCCATGGAGAACGTGGATGCCCCGCTTTGCTGAGCTGAGCATGACGCAGCTCTGCTGCGTGGATTGGACTGCACCCCAGCACCATGTGTAGCCGGGACCCTCCTGATTAAATTGGCAGGCATCCCACCAGCTCGCAGAATATCCACAGGCTGCATTCGTGAAGCTCCCATGGGGCTGAGTCTTACCAAGTCCTCCTCTTCTCCTGAACTTGTCAAGTCCCTTGTTAATCTGGGACTCTTCCAGTAACGTCTGTTGGGCCAGTCCAGCTCCCACTGAAATACTGCAGGCATGTTGGGGGGATCCTGCTGGCGAAGGAATGACTCCTGCACCCGGGTTCTGTATTGCAGAGGAAGGTGCTACAATCCCCCGTGACCTGCAGAGCTTGGGGCTCTTCCTGCTCCTTCCACCATCCTGTCTGCATTTCTGGGACAACTTCTCCTTCCTCCTTCCCTTGCTCCAAACAGAAGGCACTGCCCCTCTCAGGCCAGAAGCTGAGATCCTGGCGTGGAAGGTGCTATAGAAAGTGTGCGAGGGGTTAGGGTATGAATTATTATATTTAGCCCTTTCCTCTGTCGATCTCAGTGCTTTCTCAGGCTGGGTGAGCGAGTGTGGTTATCCATGTTGTACTCACAGGGAAACTCACTTGCCCAAGGTCATCCAGCAGGGACTGGAATAAAGGCCAGTTCTCTTGGCCCCTTGTTTGCTGCCTCCCAGGGCCAGTCTGGTCTGGGACCAAGTTTCATCCTGGAAAGGGTCTTTTACTAATAACCACCTCTCGCCCTTTGTCAGCAGGTCTTCCTGTGACCTCTCTGAAAGGCTCTGCTTTGGAAGCCTGACTAACTGGGGGCTGGCACAAGGAGATATAAACTACACATCCTGCACCAGCCTGGCAGCCCTAAGAACTCAGGCTGACTTTCACCCGAAAAGGGCTGAGATCCTTAGCTGGGGTAAATGAGTGTCCGTGGAGTTGGGCTGATTTGCACCAGCTGAGGATCTGGCCCTACATTTTTAACTAACCTCCCACTTATCTTTCCATGCATGCTCTCTGCTGGGCAATGGAAAGTCTCCCATGGTTGGCCATTTGTTTGGGTCCTTCCGTCCAAGTCCCATGGAGCCGCGTGATTCGAACAGAGTGTGACGCCAGGAATGAGCTGAGCCCAGCGTGGTTTGTGAGAACCCGTGTAACTCTGGGCCAGCCCCCTGTGTTCCCTTTCCCGTCGCTGCTGGGTATCTAGAGAGTTGGGCCAAGTCCCCTGTGAGTCCAGCCAAGTGCAGGGTCTGTGATGCTGAAACCACTTGTGATGGTCCAGTCTTCTGACCAGCTGTGATGCCACAAATGAATGAGGCTCGGCTGGACGGTGCCCTGGAGAGAGCTCTCCATGTGGGTGGGCAGGCCTCTCCCAGGTGTCTTAGCAGAGCTGCAGGGCTGGGGTTCCTCAAGGCATCTTGCTGCAATCTCATAGCAACATCTCCTCCTTGTGCTCCAGAAGCTGGTCTCGCAGAACCCCTGGTGTGTGTTAGAACGGCTCCTTTGGCTGATCTCAGCGTACACCCAACCCTGGCGGCTGCAAATCTGGTGTGGTGGCTAGAGCAGGGGACTGGGAGTTAGGGTTGCTGGGTTCGATCCCTCACTTTGCTACTCTTTGCTGCCCAACTGCAAGCAATGCCCATCGCCGCTGAGTGCCTCAGTTTCTCCATCTGTCAAATGGATATAATCCTTAATTAGCTTTGTGGGGGGTTGAGCTTATTTTTGGCTCTGAGATCCTTGGATAAGAGGTGCTATAGAAATACAGACCTAGTGATTCCTCTAGTGTTTGCACTCAGCCTGTTTGCTCCTCTCCTGGCGTGGATCCTATCTGTGGTATGCTTGGCAAGAGATTCCCGCCCCCTGTCCAGTGCCATTTGCCCATGTGAACACCCCAGCTCGTGGCCCACCGCCCCACTGGGGATGGCCCAAAGCTCAGACAGGGTCAGCGTCCCACTCCCGCTGGCGGGGAGCGGGGCTCTGGGAAATGGCTTGGCAGGCTTTTCAAAGGTGGCAGCGGCTGCCAAGGGAACAAATCCAGTCAAGCAGAGAGGGATAGACCGGCCCTCCGCCCTTGCTGCACGTGTCACGTGTGCCCGCTGGCCTGCCGAAGGGTGGCAGAGACGGCAGATGAGTTTGCTGAGTAGACAGAAAACAGGAACCGAGGGGAAGAGCTGAGCTGCGGCGCAAAGCTCCTGCTGGCTCTGGATTTGGGGGCTCCCCTCCAGCCGTCTCTAGGTTCAGGGTCTATGGGGGGGTCTGGATGCTGCACAGCCCCTGCGGCACCCTGCCTCCATGGGGGAGAACAACTCCTGTGTGTTTCCTGGGCTCCATTTCCTCCTGGGGGCTGTGCCCTCTTCCACTCTGCCTCCGGCTCTCCCCAGCCACCACGGCCTCTCTTTGGGACCGGCCCGATGGTGGATGTTGCAGAGATGAGGCAGCTTAATGACCTTTCACGGCAGAACTGAGTGCCTGGCCCGGGGACTGGGAGCAGCCCGCCCCTCTTGTCCGCCTGGTCCGTCCTCCCCTTGGTGCTGCGCCAAGTTCGCTGCCTTCCAGGCATGGGCGTGCCCCAGGTGAGAGACTCCAAGGTGTTGGGGCTCTGTGCCATTGTGCGTCCTATCAGCGGTTCAGCATAACTGGGAATTAGCATCTCTAGTTCCGAGGTAGCTGAGCTAGTGACCCCACCAGGGTCGTCTCCTCTCCCTAGAGCACCAGGGGAGAGCTCCCGCTCTGAGAGGATGACCTGCCCTTAGCCTGAAACGACAAAGATGTGAGGCAGTGGCATGGGGGACTCGGGGCTCCCGGGTTCTGCTCCTGAATCTTCTGCTGACTTGCTGCGTGACCTTGGCTGAGTCACTTGGCCGGGCCCTGCCTCAATTTCCCCACCTGGCGCTCACCTGCCTGTCAGGCTTAATGAGTGAATGTTTCTAGAGTGCTTCGAGATCCTCGGCTGAAAGTAGTGCTAGGAGGAGAGTATGCTAGTGAGGAGTTATATACCCTGGGGAGATGCTGAGTCTGGCTGGGTCCAGTTCTGCAGTGACCATCTGGCTTCTCAGCGGTAGGGTCAGCAGTGGGGCAGGGAAGAGGAGTAAATGGGTCAGTGACAGGCCTGATCCTGGCAGGTGCTGACCACCCTTAACTCTCCTTCATTCTCAAGGGACTGGGGGCATACCAGCGCCTGGCGGGATGATAATACTCCCGAGCTTTTCTATAGCACTTGTCCTCCAGAGAACCGAAAGTGCGTCACCCAGGCGTTTGGTATCATTAGCCTCGTTTTACAGTTGGGGAAACTGAGGCACGGAGCAGTCAACTGATTTGACCAAGGTGCCCCCAGCAGGCCAGCCCCAGAGCTGGGAACCGGAACCCAGGTGTCCTGAGTGCCACGCGAGTGCGCTAGCCACTAGACCACACTGCCTCCTCGTTAAGGATTAGACTCCTGCGTGAGAGCGAGAGAGGCTGGGTTGCCAGCCCTGATGACTATCCTACTCTATTTCTCTCCAAATGGGCCCACCGTGGGGAAGTGGCATTTGGAGCTTCCCTTGGCGTTGCTTGCCCAGCACGGCCCTGCAGGGCACTACTCGGGTGGGAAGGGCAGGTCAGTCCCCGGGTTAATACCAGTGGTTCTGTGCTCAGCTGAAGCGGGCTGAGACCTCCAGCTCACATCATGCAGTGCCCATGTGGGGAAGCACTTACCTCCAGTTGGGTGTATGGAAGAAGGTGCTAAGCTCTGTGGTACCCAGGTTAGCTCTGGGTAGATTGTCCCCATTCCCACCTCTCCGGGTGTTGGCAGGTCATAGCCCTGGGCCTCACCCAAACGCTGTGTTCTTTATTTCACATGCAGACAGATCTGTACTCGGGGGCCCTGTTTGTACAAGTTTGCCTGGGCTGGAACCTCTACCTCTCCACCGTCCTGATGCTGGTGGTCACGGCTCTCTACACCATCGCTGGTAAGCTGCGAAGTGTTGGAGCAGGAAGGACTCCGAGGCCGGCACTCTGCTGGGCACACAGCGCTTACGTTCTGCCCCTAGCTCCCGAAATACCTCTGGGCTCATTGGCTCGGGATTCCCTGCCCTCTGCGGCTGCACTCCTGATCACGCAGCCTTTGTGTAGGTCCAGGGAAGTCAGCAGGACGACCGGGGTGAGGGCTGCATGAGTGAGGTTCTAATGTGCAGTAACTTCCGCCCTCTCCAACATGTGCCTTGAATTCTCTCTTGTGTATACGAACGGGTGCAAACGTCCGCACACGGGGGTGGGGGGGGGAGCTATTATTAATGGCCACCATTGTGACATCCCCACATTGTGACCATCCTAAGAGGGTCCAACCCCTTATCTGAAGGGCCTTAGCGAACGCACTTCACCACCGACTTCTCCGCGTGTCGTAATCTGTCGTGCTCTTCGGCTGCAAAGAACACCAATCTCAGCTCATTCATGCCTGGAGGGGAGGTAGTAACAAGTGTTCTCCCTGTTTTACTGGTGGGCTGACCAATGGGATTTCCCCACTCATTCACGGGTAGTGAGGCTCAGGGCTGGGAGTAGAATTCATGAGTTCCTGGCGCTCACCCTGCACAGACCACTGGGTCCGATATCCTTGGCAGGCCCCTGAATTATTATCATAGAATCATAGAATACCAGGGTTGGAAGGGACCTCAGGAGGCCATCTAGTCCAACCCCCTGCTCAAAGCAGGACCAATCCCCAATTTTTGCCCCAGATCCCTAAATGGCCCCCTCAAGGATTGAACTCACAACCCTGGGTTTAGCAGGCCAATACTCAAACCACTGAGCTATCAGAGGAGGTTCCCTTCGTTGTCCATGTCAGGGGAGTCACGCCAGCCCAGACAGTTTGGCTCAATCTCTTCTCTTCTGTCAGTCAAAGCAATACTCCTGCCCAGTACCTCTAAACCAGGGGTGGGCAAACTATGGCCTGCGGGCCTCATCTGGCCTGTCAGACCATTTAATCCGGCCCTCAGCTCCTGCCGGGCAGCAGGGTCGGGGGTTTGCCCCACTTCATGCGACTCCCAGGAAGCAGCCGGCATGACCCTCCTCAGGCTCCTACGTAGTACACATCCGCAGGCACCGCCCCCGCAGCTCCCATTGGCCACGGTTCCTGGCCAATGGGAGCTGCGGGGGTGGCACCTATGGAAGGGGCAGCACACAGAGCCGCCTGGCTGTATCTCAGAGCTGGAGGGAGACATGCTTCTGGGAGCTGCTTGCAATAAGCACCACCCGGAGCCTGCACCCCTGAGCCCACCCTGCTCCCCAATCCCTTGCAACAGCCCTGATCCCCCTTTCCGCCCTCCAAACCCCTCGATCCCAGTCCAGAACCCCCTCCTGCACCCCAAACCCCTCATCCCCAGCCCCACCCCGGAGCCTGCACCCCCTGCCAGAGCCCTCACACCCCTCCCCCATACCCCAACCCCCTGCCCCAGCCCTGATCCCCCTCCTGCCCTCTGAACCCCTTGGTCCCAGGCTGGAGCCTCCTCCTGCACCCCAAACACGTCATCCCCAGCACCACCCCCAGAGCCCTCACCCCCCCCGCACCTCAATCCGGAGCCCCCCTCCTGCACCTTGAACTCATCATTTCGGGCCCCACCCCAGAGCCCGTATCCCCAGCCGGATCCCTCACCCACTCCCGCACCCCAACCCCCGATTTCATGAGCATTCATGGCCCACCATACAATTTCCATGCTCCGATGTGTCCCTCAGGTCGAAAAGTTTGCCCACCCCTGCTCTAAGCTGTATTCGGATGTCACTGTGATTCTCTGGTCCCCAACAAATTGTGTCCGCATGTTTTCCGGTCCATAGAGCATATGTTGGTGTTGGGTATTTAACTCTATGAGCTCAGAGAGTGGGTGGGGTCACTGAGCCATTGAACCAAGAGAACATCTCTTAAAATCCGTGTAATCGAATCGGATGTTACGGGTTATGGGAAACCCAGAAATTTTGCCATGAGACGTGAGTCAATAGCTTCAAACCCTTTGCTACAGCTCAGCTACGTTTTAAGCCTCTTCTCTCCACTGGCCGAATTCCCGTCTCCCTAGGCGAGCAGGCTTGGATCAACCACAAGGATAAAGGGGTTGCTTGGTCAAGAGGGTGTGGAAGGGCTAAATGCACAGCGCTGGGCTAGACAATGGTTAATGGGGGACCGGCTAAGAGTGCCAGGAGCTGATGGGTGAGAACACCAGGGGAGGGTGTGGAATTGCTTGGAGAGTACGAGGCGGGAGACTTGGGGGCAAGGGGATGAAAGGAAGGAAAAGGAGGGATCCATTTCTTAGCAGGGCTCATGCGTTGGCTGGAATGGGGTCCACAGCCGAGTGCAGGAAGCCCCGTTGCTGGGTTAGTTACAAACAGGGCAAAGCGCCAAGGAATTATTTATTTGTATCCCCGTAGCACCTATGCGCCCCAGGCCTGGACGCGCGCACACACCTAGTAATCACGGCTACTGTTCGGACAGCCCCGTTCTGTGACCGTTCTAAGAGGCTCTAATGGACCGAGACCCTATTGTGCTAGGAGCTGTACAAACCCAGAACACAAAGCTGGTCCCTGCCTGAGAGAGAGGACTGGGCTCTTGTGCTAAGGAGAGCGCCGCTGCGTGGCCACAGCATGGCCTTCTGCGCAGGAGCGTGAGAACATGGCGCTCTCGCTTCAGCTCCTCTTTCCAGACGAACCCACCCCGCCCTGCCCCGTCCCCTTCCTTTTTATCCCGTGCGCTTGGGACTCCTGCTCAGCCCTGACGGCAAGGCCTGGCACTCAGCCGCCTCTGCACCGTCCTCTATGTTTGTGGGGGAGCGCAACACCCTCACGCTCCCCGCTCTGCAACTGGAGTGTGCATGGCCCCAGCCCACCCGTGGGGAGATAGGCAGCCCCATAACCCTTGGTTGCACAGCAGTGAACGGAGCTGGCCCTCCTGTTTTACCTTGGTGGAAGCACTTCCAGGCCTGCCATGCAGGTCTCCTGCTCAGCAGGGATCAATAACCGACGGACACGCCTCCAGGTGAATGGTTCACTTTATTGTTGACATACCGACAAAGCCTGGCCCTGTGCCAACTGAGACCCCTGTATCTCATTCCCGTCTCGTGCAGGGGGGCTGGCAGCTGTGATCTACACTGACGCTCTGCAGACGCTCATCATGATAATCGGAGCTGCCATCTTAGCTGTAACAGGTAAGGCCAGGGAGCCGCACAGACATACCCCCTCCAAGGAAATCTCTTTCCTCACGCAACTCGAGCAGTCTTAAAAATAAATTAAAATACCTGATCTGAGCGAGTCACGTGCCCAGACGTTTAGGGTGAGCTTCGCCCGCTCTGCGGACGGCTAGCCAAAGCCTGCACCACTTACGCTCCCCTGTGGCCGTACCCCCATGTGTGCACGCCCTGTGGGTCTAAGTGCTGCACAGACTTCGTGCTGGGTCTCTGCACTGGGGTGAATTCCCCGCCTCGTGCCCTTCCTGTTTAATTGTTCTACGTGGCAGGCTCCCGGTATCCATGTGATCGATCCAGAATGACAGGCTGGTTAGGTGATTGACTATCAAGTGGAACTTCAAGTTTTTCTCCAGGTAATTCCCAGCTGTTGACTCCCTGGGTGTTATTTGGGGCATACCCGGAAGGGATCCACCCACATCAGAACGCAGCTTCCTCTGATCTTCTCTGAAACATGCACAGCAAAAGCCAAGGCGTGAGAGAGTCTGCATTCCATGTGCGTGCAGCCAGGGAGCTGGAACCGGCGCTGGGCACTCTCCTCCCTTCCTCAGGGTCTTCCTCGGCTTTGCTCTAACTTCATTCACAGGCATTTCCAGGTGCTCCTCACTGGAGCACCTGAGTGAATTTAGCCTCACAACACCCCTGTGAGGTAGGGAAGTCTCGTTCTCCACCTTTTCCGGACGGGGCACTTAGGCGCCGAAGGGTTAAGACACAATTTTCACAGTTGGGTGTCTACCGCTAGAGCAGGTCTACACCTAGAACGTACAATGGCACAGCTACGTCTCTTAGGGGTGTGAAAAATCCCCCCCCCCCCGAGAGACGAAGCTCTGTTGCCCAACCCGCGGCGTAGACAGCGCTAGGCTGACAGAAGAATTCTTGTGTTGAACTAGCTGCCGCCTCTCGGGGAGACGGATTGCCTACGCTGCTGGGAGACCCCGTCCCGGGGCCGTAGTGAGTGTCTACACTGAAACACTGCCTTTGTGCTGCTTTAGCCGTTGGAGTGTACGCACCCTAACTCCAAAGTTAGGTACGTCTACACTGGGGGGGGCGGGAACAACGTGGTGAAGAGTCTCGGAGCCTAAGTAACTGAGGTGTGTCGTCCCCTCCCACTGCGTGTACAGCTCAGCTCCTGTTCTTTGAGGGGGAGGGAAGGGCACAGTCTCTGATGCCATGTATTGACAGAAATCAGACCAAAGGCAAACAGCAGCCAAGGCTTCAACCGTTCAAAAAGGAGCAGGACAATTTCCCCCCAAGTAGTAACCAGACCAGAACCACTGTCCTGACCCTAACAGAGGTGCAGATCAAAAAGAGGGCCGCAGAGAAAAGAGAACTAAAGGCCCTTGCATACTGCTGGGCATTCGGTGGCACCTTAAAGACGAACAGATTTATTCGGGCATAAGCTTTCGTGGCTAAAAACCCCACTTCTTCTGTTAGTCTTTGAGGTGCCACTGGATTCCTCGTTGTTTTTGTGGATACAGACTAACACGGCTACCCCCTGATGCTGGGTATTGTCACAGGTTTGGAGCAGGCAGCTGAACAAGACATCCTCTATGGATACTGGTTTTGAATCTGGCCCACCGTGCAGGAGTGCAAGTTTGGGAATGGCATGCACACAGGTGTGCTAAAGTTCACAGTCCACTCATGTGGGGCTGTCATTCCCAAATGCCTCTTTGTCACCCTTTAGCGGCTAGATCACGCAGACAGGGTTGAATCCACTACTGCCAGCCAAGTGCAAAATATCTGCTCCTTGAGCTCAAGCAGTAGAGGCCTGTGCAGAGGTCACAGTTTCGGTCCCCGCTGACTACTCATTCTGGGCTGTCATTGCAGAAATAGTCGACAGCACAATACTTTGAAGAATAGCCTCAAGTGGCCAAATCCTGGTGGGAAATACATGAACCACGTGATTGCACAGAGACCGAGTTCGTATGGGGTTCATATAACAAACAGCTTCCTCCACCAGGCTGTTCTACAAAAACTGAGCAATGACCACACAGTTGGGAGTAGAACTGGGCAAAACTTTTCATCTGAAATTTTTGACCGTTGAAACTTGCAGATCCCAGTCAACTGAAACATTTTGTGAACTTGGGTCGATTTCCGCAAATATTTCCAGTAAAAAAAAGTCGAACAAAACCCAATCGCCCTAAAAACAATTCCAAAATCTTGAAATGAAACATTTTGACGTTTTCAGAAAGAAAGATTTCAGTTTTGGGGGTTGAAATGACTTTTGGTTTTGGAATTTCCTCCCCCCCATTTTGTTTAATCCCCCCCCCCCAAATTTTATTTAGAAAACGCAAAAATGTAAAAAAAAAAAAAAAAGTTTGAAATTGAATTAAAATGTTTCAGTTAACAATTTTTGAAAACCTGTTTGGAACTGCTAGCGACCCAACCTTATTGTTGTGAGCCCAGCTCTAGATGGGGTAAACTGAAGCAGATCGACCCAGGCCTCTGGGCTGGGATCCCCCCTATCCAGCATTAGCCCGGGGCCGGCTCTCCCAAATGTGGGCATGCTCACCCCCTGCAGCACTCATGCAAACAGTCCTTGTCCTGCACGCACCTTGTTGTTGTGGCTCATGGCATGGTTACCACGGCAAGTCATTGAAATCACGGCCTAAATCCCTGATTCCTTTTGGCGTACACCACAAAAACGTTAATCCTGGTGTGTGAACTCATTGGGCGTTAACGAGGCAGCTGTGGGGCAAATTCTCTGCAGGCCTTCCAAACTGCAACACCCCTTTGTTGGTCCACACCTCCCGTGTGTGCAAATGCCGATGTTGCTGCATGAAAACTGCTGCCTTTGGAAATACTGCAGGTCCCGGAGCCCTGAGTGCATCTACCTGCTTTCCACTATCCGCCCAGGTCTTTGGCTCACCCGCACCGGGATTAACCAGGTGTGGGCGTGTAGCCCCTTCCCCTTTCACAAGGACAGGGTGAGTTTACAAACACTGATCCTCTCCCCAATACTCAAAGTGGTGTTTGCGTGTGAGATGGCTCGAGTCCTCAGACAATGCTCGGAAAACATCCACCTGCCCCCTCTGACTGTGGTCTGGGACTGAGGGTCCCAGGACTAAACCGCAGACTTCTGGGGCAGAAGAGAACATCAGGATCATCTAGAGTCTGACCCTCCTGCCCATCGCAGGATGTAGAACTTCGTCCAGCCGCTTCTGTAGTGGGCCCATAAGCTCTGCCCCAGTTACTGAAGTCCCCATCTCGCATGGCCATGGAACTGCACTGAAATGGCAAGACACCAAGGGGGAAGTAATGTGCAGTTCTGGGGCGTTTGGATCAGAGTTTAGCCAGGCTCATTTCTGGGAGGGGGGAAAGCCCCATCCCAGCATCCCTACCGTGCAGGGAGCGGGGGCGGGGGATGAAGAGGAGAAGGTAGATGGATGGATGTTTTTCTACAAGAGCTGAAGAGCTGCTCACGCTCAAACCGGCAGGAATCCAGGGCAGTGCTGGGCTGTGTCCTGCGGGAGGTCAGACCAGTGGATCATAATGGGTCCATCTGCCCTTGGAATCCATGAATAAAGTCTGGGCTCGGGACTGCCATTACCAGAGTGTGAATTCTCAGTAACAAATTCCCAGCCAAGGATGCCTGTGTTTGGGAGCATCCGGCTTAGGAGTCTGAAGATTTGGACACAAATCCACAGCAGGCTGGAGTGTGAAAGGCTCATAAGAACATAAGAATGGCCCTACTGGGTCAGATCAAAGGTCCAACTAGCCCAGTATCCTGTCTTCCGACAGTGGCCAGTGCCAAGTGCCCCAGAGGGAAATGAACAGAACAGGTAATCATCAAGTGATCCATCCCCTGTTGCCCATTCCCAGCTTCTGGCAAACGGAGGCTAGGGACACCATCCCTGCCCATCCTGGCTAATAGCCATTGATGGACCTTCCCTCCATGAATTTATCTAGTTCTTTTTTGAGCCCTGTTATGGTCTTGGCCTTCACAACATCCTCTGGCAAGGGGTTCCACAGATTGACTGTTCTTTGTGTGAAGAAATACTTCCTTTTATTTGTTTTAAACCTGCTGCCTATTTATTTCATTTGGTGACCCCTAGTTCTTGTGGTATGAGAAGGAGTAAACAAGACTTCCTTATCTACTTCCTTATCTGCTCCATGGGGCAGACCCAGCAGATGGCCAGGCCTTTCACCTGGCCCCCAGTTTTGGCCTGGGCCCAGAGGAGCATTACCAGGGCGTTCGGTTTCCATGGGCTGCACTGTTAATTCTCTCGGCTGCCAGCCGCTGTGACTTATGGGCACTAGCTAGTCATGAGGGTGGCAGCCCTGCCACAGACCCCTTCAAAGGGCACAGAGAGGAAGGGTGAGGGGACGGTGGGAGGGTCAATACTGATCTGGTAACCCCACGAATCTAACCTGCTGCTAATGCCAAGGTGCTGAGAGTTGGGCGGTCAGAGCTGGGGGTGGGGGGCATTAGATCTGGCTCCCAGTTCAGGCCCCGCTCTGATTCTCACAAAGCAGCAGCGCAGAGGAGGAACGGAAGGCGAGATAGGGACAAGCTGCTCCCTCCACCCTGCCCATCGCTTTAAAATAAATTCAGCCCCAAACACGACAGGTTGTGCTAAAAGCAGCCCCTGATATCCGGGCCTGGGGTTCGCCCAGCCCTTCATAGTGGGGCTGCTTCCTCAACCTTCCCCCAGACGGCTACCTCGCCTCTGCCCCGTCCGCTGCGGCATGGGAGTCTGTGCTTGGTGCCCAGCGGGGGCCTGGCCTGGGCAAGAGGAGACTCTGGCAGCTCCTCCTGGGCGTGAGTAACGGTCGCTGTGCCGCGCCGTGTGCTGGGGATGGGATGCAAACACACCTGCAGCACCTGCTCTCATGTGAAGCTGCCAAAGACGGGGGTGTACCTGCTCCCGCACGGATTGGCTTGGAAGGGAGTGCTGAGGAAGGGGAGGGGCATCCTCCCTCCTCCTTTTGCAAGCCAAGTATGTTGCCTTCCCATGCATCCGCGGCCAAAATCTCCTCCCGGCTAGCCAGGGTAATCCCACTGCCTTTAGCGGGGCAACTGCAAGGTGAATTTAGCCTCCATCTCCCACCGGCTGCGAGGAAGCAAGCCTGGATTCCCGCATGGCAGCTCCACTCGGGGCTGCAGGCATCAGGGCTGTCGGGCAGCTGGGTGCTCCGCAAGATCCTTGTGCCCCAATGAGTGACACCACTGCTTAAGCTGGCGGGACTGGGAGTGGCAGGGTGGCGCTGAAAGCAGGCTGCTGGTGGGGGCGTCTATCGCATGGGGTTCATTTGCGAGTGGCTGCCCAGGCTGGGGATGATTTGGGGAGAGTGGGGAGCTAGGCCTTTTGCACAGGTGTCACTTTCACCCCGGGGAATTAACTGCCCCAGAGAGAAGATGCCATTTCTCAGGGTACATCTGCGCTGCAGCCGGAGAGGTGAATGCAGCACGTCCAGACATCCCTGCGCTAGCTTTGGTCTAGCTAGCTCCTGTCCCAATAGCAATATGGTCTAGCCACTCGAACCTACCCAGGATGCCTGGCGGGCTTGGACAGCCCACGCTAGCTAGGTCAAAGCGAGCTCAGATATGTCTACACCTGCTGCAGTCACACCTCCGCTCGCAGTGTAGATGGACCCTAAGAAAACCCAGCGAAGTGAGTCTGTATTGCACTTGGGTCTAGGTGCCCAGAGACGATGGGGCTATCAGGTCACTACTTAGATCGATACAAAATGGTCTGACCCCTGAGCCAAAGGGTGGACCCTGCACTTAGCCCCGTCACAAATCAGGTCAGTCGCTACCTCCTCTGGTCGCGTTTACCACTTCAACAAGAATGTCCCACTGCCCGGGGACCTTTGTGGTTTAATAAAAGTGACTCGTTGGAAATACAAACTCAGTGGCAAGAGCGTCCCAATGGGGAGCCTGGATCCAGGACCCGGGATGTGTCCCCTGGGGGGGAGCATGAATCTACCGGGCCCAACTATGCAAAACACTAGCTGATGCATGTGTCTCTTAAATAAGAATAAAATTCCACTGTAACGTGTGGTGGTTCTTTCCCAGGCCCCGCCTCTCGGGGCAAGCGGGAAGGGAGGAAAGATTCTGCCAGCTGATCTGCTTGTATTTCAGTGCTCTAATCAGCCTCCCCTCCCCATTCCCTTCCAGCCTTTAGCAAGATCGGAGGATACCAGAACCTGGCAGAGGCTTATTTAAAGGCTGTTCCGGCCAAGATTATCCCCAACACAACATGCCACCTGCCCAGAGTTGACGCTATGCACCTCTTCCGAGATCCCGTCTCGGGAGACCTCCCCTGGACCGGCATGACTTTCGGGCTGTCGGTCTTGGCCACTTGGTACTGGTGCACCGACCAGGTAAATGTAAACATGTTCCCCCTCCCTTGCGGAATTGCACCTCCCCGCTCAATGGCCTCTGAATACTTGCAGTCCACCTGCTTCGGTGCCTACTGGTCCTTGCGGCTGGCGGCCCCAGGGAGCCTCCGTTTGGAGTCGGTGGAAACCTGCTGGCCTCCGCCCGCCTTGGTCTTGAGGTGCTTGAACTGTGAGAGTTTGGTGAGCGGGATGCCAAGTGGCATCCTCACTTCGTCCGCTGTCCTCTGGTTTTCTGGGAGGGAGGACAAGGGCTTGCCAGTTGCTCTGCTGATGCCTTGTGAGAGGTGGCCGGGCTGCACGTTCCTGGTAGAACTGAAACCTTTGCTTTGCCAGTATGGCGGGGGGCTGGTGGTTGCGGTGGGTTTTTTAGCACTGGTTCCGTCCGCCTTGTATTTGCTGGGCCCTGGGTTTTTCTCATGTCTCAGGGTGTGGACGCCCCCTCTGCCTTGTCCTGGGCATGCTGGGTTCCTGGATACATAGTGGTGGAAAGGCTGGCCCTGTTTGATAAAGACAAGAGAAGAGAATAATGGTTACTGGCAAGAATTGGTGGGACACACGCTCTTGAAATGCTATGAGTGGGCCTGGCTTTGCCACTGACTCACTGTGCAACCTTGGGCAAGTCCCTTTGCTGTTCCCTAGCTATAATTCTCCTCGGGTTTGGGGTCACTGGAAACCCCCAAGAGAGAGAATTAAGCCTTAACCCAGCATTTCCCAATGGGGTTTCTGTGATAGCTTGCCCTCTATTTCCCCCAGAAATTCACAGCATCCCGTAAGTCTCCAGAGATACCTCAATGCTCTGCCTCTGTATGGTAGCCTGAACACCCATTGTGACCCTCTGTGTGGCTTAAGGCAAGATTCATGCAGCTGCAAGTCCAGGCTCTGGGCTTGGAGGGGCCCACCGACCAACACTGGGCCTGGAGGGGCCCACGGGCCAACCAATCTGAGTGGTGGGGAAGATGGCACCTGAGAAGGATGGAGCAGGAGGTGACATTGGTAGGGCAGGGAGCCAGCAGCACTGTAGCATTGTGGGAGTTGATTAGTTGTGTAGAGGGGCCTTTACATCAGGTCCGGGCCCCAATAGTCTTAATCCACCACTTACATAGACTGGATATTTGTCTCCCTCTGTTTCCATCCTATTAGCTGGTTAAATACCCTGAATGGCTCCTTTTCGCCCCAATCCTGTGCTGTGGGCTCCCATGCCAGTCTGCAAAATGGACGCAAAACCACACCCAAATCAGATGCCTCCACTCGTGCGGGAGGTCGCATTTCACACCCACTTCACCCCGGGGTAAATGTGTCAGCACATCCTGGGCGTGTCTTTGTCCCGGCTCTGCACTGAGGCTGACATGGCCCCACACCCAAGCCAGAGTGGCCTCTTGGCACTGGATCCATGCAGAACAAACCCAAAGGTACCCAGCTGGACGGTGCTGTGCAAAAGCCCGAGCTGCGAAGGCTTTGAACGTGTTGAGACAAGAGCAAATATTTAGATAACAGAGACAATTGCTAGGAGCCCAGGCAATGCACCATGCGTGTTTCCACCACGCCTCGTCAGCAAACAGGATCCCTGGCACGAAGGTCTGAGCCAAAACACATGGGCTCCTTGCAGGTGACCCATTAGGCTGCAGGTCTGGCCCTGCCACTCTGTGCCTCCTTCCCATAGCCTCCCACTCTGAATGGCTTGGGCCTCCTGACACCCCGCTTTCTAGATGGGAAACTGAGGCACAGCGAGACGAAGTGACTTGCCCAAGATCTCATGGAGTCTGTGGTGGAACAAGAACTCGAAGCTGGGTCTCTCCAGGCCCAGGTTGGCATCCCAACCCATGGACCGTCCTTCCTCTCGAAGAGCTTTGGATGAGTGATAAGTGCCCCGATTGATGCTTGTCAGGTGGCACCTCCCCATCCTGCCCCTGTGCCATCTACTGTGAATCAGCCTCATTTTGGTTCCTTGTCAGGGGAAATCCCAGGCGAGACCGGCAGGCCGGTTCTCGTGCCGCGTGGCCGTGATTCAGCCGTGCGACTTCCTCTGAGTCACTGCGACAGGGACGCGAGAGCAGCCTCCGCACTCGGCATCTTCCCCGGCTGGTTGGACGGAAAGGCCGGGAAAGAGCCACTCAACTACCTGGGCCAGCCCCCGCCTGGGTTGGTCGCTTGGGTCTGTGGGCCTGAGGCGTGAGGAGTGAGCCCGCGGTAACTTCGTGGTGGCTGTGGGGTGCCTGCTAGTTGCAGCTGTAGACGACGGGTCAAGGCACAATGTCAGGGAAAGCCTGGCTGTTCTGACTTGGGACAAGGCTTCCGGCCCCTCCAGAGCGATGCTGCTGCTTAGGGAGGTCACCGACGCAGGCCTTTCCCGGGCCCCGAGATTACAACAGCAACGGGTCAGGGTCAGGAGCACTTGGCACCTCTGAACAGGTGGCCTAGTAATACAGAGAGCTGCTGAGCCCCTGAGAATGAAGCCGTGGGGGTTGGCAGGGGCTGTTTAGCTGAGCTGGGTTTTTTTGCAGCCCTTCCACTGACTTGGCTGTTTTAGGAGAGGCTCCGAATCCAGCCCTGCCATCGATGGGAGAAGCTTGGTGCCAGCAGAGACCTGGGAACCAGCCACCCTTGCTCTATGTTCTTGGCTTTGCTATTGAGTTGCTTGGGCAAGGCACTGAACGCCTCTGCCTCGGTTTCCCCATCTGTGAAATGGGAGCACTAATGCAACAGCCCTGTGAGTGAGGCTGCGTGGGCGGGTGTCTGTTTGGTGCTTTGAAGATGACAGTGTCAGGCCTCGCACGCTCTGGGAATGCTCCGTCCATTGTGTCCCCCCTCCTCCACTCACTGCTACGGCACCGCAGAGACGGGGACGGAGCAGTGGGATGCTCAGCCCGCTTGTAAGGACAGCACAGAGAGGCACAGCACGCAAAGCAGGAGGGGCACGCATGGTCATGGGACGCAGTGAGCGCTAGTGGGTTTGTGTGTGTAGGGTTGGATGGCAGTGCTGTCATTTACGTGTAGGTATATATTTTTGAGGGGAATCTGGAATTTAATTGGGGGGGGGGAACGGCTCCTTCATTACAGGATAGAGAGGGTCAATGTGAACGGGAATGTGCCACACTGAACCGAGGACTTAGCAATGCTTCTGTCTCTCAATATACACGGGCACATTCTCCTGCAAATTCTCCCCTTGCTCGAAGGCTTTGTCTACGCTGCACTTTCGGCGGTAAAACCCGCCCCCCACCGCGTAGTACACGACTACCGCGTAGTGTAGACATAGCCTCCCTGACGCTGGGATCAAAGACCAAGAGCCTGTCACCGAGCAGCACTCCCGCATTGCCAGACTGAGTGTCGCGTGAGCCGCTAGCTCGGAATCCAGCAGTCCCACCTGATTGATCTCAACCAAGGCCGAGCGCAGCGGCATTCCTGCTCTGTTGTGCAAGGCTGCGACCTGCGGAGACGACCTATCCCAGCATGCAGTGCTCTCGCTTCAGCCCCGTGGCGGGCAAGGTGGAACCTTGCATGCAGGGAGCTGGGATCTCCAGCGGGGGAAGTCCATGGGCGGCACTGGGCCGTTCTGATCTTCTGGAATAATCCCAGCAGATCCTGTTCGGAGCAGAACTGCAGCCCTGCAGGATGCGAGGACCAGATGGGCCTGGGCTGCAAAATTTGGGTCGAGTTTGGACATGACACGGGGGTTGAGGCCCAATTTCTCAAGCACTAAGCTGCAACTGGTCATGTCTCCGTCTCTCTTGCAGGTCATTGTGCAAAGGTCTCTCTCGGCTAAGAACCTGAGTCACGCCAAGGCCGGCTCCATCCTGGCGAGCTATTTGAAAATGCTGCCGTTGGGGGTTATCATCATGCCGGGGATGATCAGCCGGGTTCTCTATCCAGGTGAGGTACAGACACAGCAAAGGGGAAGTGTCGGCAGGGTTTTATAATTTGCCTGTCACTGAGCAAAAGCCGCTGCGGTTCAGAAGGGCAGCTTGTGCCACATTGCACAGGGGATTGGGACAGCATGCTGAGTCCCTCTGCATGGACACTAGCCAGCCCGCAGGGTGCTCTTCAAAAAGCATGGGATTTGCCTGAGTATCCTTGGTCAAAAGTTCCCCTTTTCCCCTCCTAGTGTGTGCAGGGCACCGTGGGCTGCAGTCCCCCACCACAGCGGTGGCTGCATTTCAGTGGTGGTGTATGCATACAGCTAGTGAAATGCTTTGGAAGGAGTGTTATGTTGTTGTGTTGGAGAGGAGGTGTTTCAATCCCAATTGGGTCTAGGGATATGTGTGTGGGCGGGGGGGGGGGGGGGAAACAGGGCTAGGGCTGAAATTCAGTGACACCAGCTCTTCTTATAGACTCATAGATATTAAGGTCAGAAGGGAAAATTATGATCATCTAGTCTGACCTCCTGCACAATGCAGGCCACAGAATCTCACTCACCCACTCCTGCGGTAAACCTCTCACCTATGTCTGAGCTATTGAAGTCCTCAAATCATGGTTTAAAGCCTTGCAAAATGGTGCAAGCTTTGCAAGATCATCTGATGTGGTGAGATTTCAGCAGCATCCAAATGGGAAATAGGCCCTTTCCACTTCGGGGTTCAATTTGGAGCCAAAACTCCACAGACTGGCTGAGCTTTGGGACACTGGATCCTTAATGCCCCACCGAAGTTCACAAAGGTTCAGAGGAGAGGGTTGCAGTTTAGGCCCATCGCTAGCTGCTAGGCCACATTCCTATCTGGTGTAACTCTTCCATTAATGACCCTGTGGATTCTGGGCTTCTACAGGTTACACCAGGGAGGAATTTGGCTTGATAACGGCTTAGTGTTTGTGAATGAGCTGGTTGAGATTTCCTGTGTGTTCCTAATGATGACCACTTGACTCCTTGGTGTCTTTTTCCTTCAAAAGTCTTGAGGAGGCTATTGTAAGAACACTAATCACAAGACAAAGCTACCTGGCCAGTTTTTGGACACATTGGCTGGGAAGCGGGGCCAGAGCAGACTGCTTTATAGCAATGCTTGAAAGGTTTTGGCACAGCCAGCTTTACACAGTGCTGGGATTTTCGGATGAATGAGTAAAACTGCATTGGCTGTTAGCTTAGCATCTTCGCAGGGACGTAAGGACAAGCATATATTGGGTCTGGGCTGGTAAATTTCATTACCTATAGAGATTAGAGCTACATTGAGGACTGGGTCCTGAGATCCTGTATACCTGGGTAGCTCCAATTTCTGCCAGTGGAGGATCAGTTCCCGAATGACGGAACGCACTGAAAGGTGGAAAGGGAAAGCTGGCCCGGGACTAATTTTTGTGCCTTTAGAAAAGGAAATGTAGCAAGAGCTGAGCAGCGAACCAGCAACCTCAGTGTTCGATGCTAAAAAGCGGGGTGTGTCCGGGCACGGCCACACCTTGTGGGAACAGCTGTCCCACAAATAAAACCAAGCCCAAATGATCAGCATGTTCCTTGCTGTGGCTCTGCAGCGTGAGTAGGCCTGAAAAGTGCTGACTGCGGACTGTTGCAATGTTCTCCACCATCCCTATTTCACTGCACTGTCGCCGTGTGCCTCTGAGTCATTCCGCGCCAGGTGCTGTTCTCTTTGATGCTAATCGTTTTTTTATCAGGAGCTAAACAGCAAGCCTGGGAGGGACCTGCCTGCCTGGGCCACCCTGGCCCCACCTGTGCGTCATGCCATGGCACATGTGTTTGTTGCTGAAAGGGCCTTTTCCTGGAGCCTGAAATATGGCTTGGTGAAAAGAGCTTCACGAGGGGATGTGGGGGGCTGTTTCTGCTCTGCTCCCAGGTGGCCCTTAGCCCCTCTCGCAGGTTATGTCTGCACAGCAGCTGGAGAGGTAACGTCCCGCTTGGGTAAGCATACGGTCGAGCCACCCCTGGACGTACCTAGGATCCCAGAGGTAGCAGCATCAGGGCTGGCCTTATGGGTGGACCACATGGGCAACCACCCAGGTGCCGTGGTCTAGAGGCATGGACTGGGGAGGGCCTGGGGTGCGAGTTTGTAGAAGGGAGCTCCGGGCAAAGGTGGGGAGCCAGAGGGGCCTGTTGGCCGGGGCGAATGGTGGTGGTGGGGAGCCCCGAGAGGCAGCAGGGGTCTGGGGGGATGGATGGAGAGGCAGTGAGGGTCTGGGGGAGTAGGGAGCCCAGGGAGGCAGTGGGAGGGTGGGGAGGCCTGGGGGAGGCAGCGGGGGCCAGGGCAATGGGGGTCGGGGGGAGCCTGGGGAGACAGCGGGGGCCGGGGCAGTGGGAAGGAGCCCAGGGAAGCAGCAGGGGGCGGGGGAGATGGGTGGGGGGCCTGGGGAGGCAGCGGGGGGCAGGAGGAGTGATGGGGGAGCCCGGGGAGGCAGCAGGTGTTAGGAGGGATGCGTGGGGGGCCAAAGGAGGCAGCAGGGGTGCCAAAATACAAGCTCGCCCAGGGTGTCATGGTCCCTAAAGCCGGCCCCGAGCAGCACGCGGAGCACAGGCAGGCTCCAGGGCAGGAGAAGGAATCAAAGAAGAGGCTGATATGACAAGCCATCCTACCTGCCTGGCCTTGCTGGCGAGTGCTCCCTTTCCATCCAGGACAGCGCGCGGGCTATTGCCCGTTCCCAGCACACACCTGATCACCTCGGTAGCATCGTCCCGTCTCAGGCCCGTGTCCTCCAAGCGCACGTTTGGCGGCGACTGCAGGCTCCCCAGGGGGCTGACGTAGGTGCCCCGGCTGATGTGGGGGTCGCTCATTTTCCTTTGCAAGTGCAGGTTCCCCCCGTTGGGGATGTGATCGGAGTTGGTTCTCCGGAGCGGCCCAAAGCGACCTCTCACCTCGAAGAGTTCGTCCGAGGTGGAGGAGGCATTGGAGGGGTGGTAGCTGTGGGTGGCCGAACTGCTGGAATAGCTCTCCTGATCGCTGAGCGTCAAATAGTCCTCTTCATCGTCCTCCCCTTCCAGCCCGTTTGCGGGACACATGGCTGCTGTGCCCTGGGCTTCCTGGAATACGGCCGCCTGCCTCCTCAGCTGGTGATGGCTGGCCGCGGCTTGAGCTTGTGCGGGGTTTTCATCCGGCCTGTAATCTGCGTTCGCTTGCTCGGCCCCGTGGTGCAGGTGCTCCTTGGCGTCCCCGAGCAGGGCAGCCGTGTCTTTACAGAGCACGCCGCTTTTGGAGATAAAGTCCGTGACGTCAACTGTCCGAGGCCTTGGCACAGGGGGCCTGACGTCCATCTTCTGTGTCTCTGCGGCTGTGGGCTGCTTCAGGTGCTGGCTCACGGCCAGGATAGCCAAAGCTCCTTTCTTGTCCTCCCCAGGACTCCTTGCTTTGGGGCTTTCTACTGGCTTGGGAGCTTCCTTGATTGGGGTCGGAGGGGTGGCTGGAGAAGGCTCTTGGCTTCTCTTGGCTTCCAACTCCTTGTTCTTTAGCATCTGCCTGTGCTGGACATTGGCCTGGGCGACGTCACAGACCTTGATGCGGTTCATCTGGGACAGCTTCACATTCTTTATAGTGGGGTCAATGATGTTGATGTACCCCAAGATTTCGCTTGGGTCTGGGTCTGGCTCCACCCAAGTGGGCAGGTAATTGAACATGTTGGCCTTCTCCATGTTGAGGAGGCCAGGGTGGATGGGTGGGGCTAGGTCAGCCATGTCGTTTTGCTGCTCGGCACTTTGGCCCTCGGGAAGGGCCTTGTTTTTGCTGTCCATCATGTTTCTGCCAGTGCCCGCCTGCCTCTCGGACGACATCTTGCTGATCTGTTCTGCGCTCTTGGCCTTCACCAGGGCATATTTTGGGTTAATCAGCTTCTTCACCACTGCATTGGCTGGGGTCACGGGCATGAGAGAGGGCAGAGTGAACGGCTCAGGTTCTGGCTCCTCATCCATGGGAATGGACTTCAGGCTGACCCCCCGGGACATGAGATAAAGCTCCTGGAACTGCTTGTCAAACGCTTCCACCACCTGGCCGGAGAGGACTGAGATGACGTTCCTGTCGGTCCTGGCTGCGGACCAGGTGAAGCTGGAATGGAAACCAATCAGAAACAGTCTGAGTGCATGGCAGCAAACCCGGCCTTGGTTCCCCTGCTCCCTGGCTTGCTATTGAGACTTGAATAACTCAACCCCGGGCCCAGTTCTGTGCTCTCTGGGGCTGGCTAGATCCTGCGGCCTTTTGGGCCGAGTTCATAAAGTGCTGCCTTCTACTGCTGCAAGGGCTTTATGTGCATCTCAGTCTAGTTGCTTCCTCAGACACATGTCCTAGTCCGGTCCAAGGGGCAGGAGCGGGGCCTTAGAAGCAAATCCTCACAAAACCACCACCTAATTTAGCAGGAGCAGCAGACTTATCTCAAGGCAAGTCTGGGGTTTGATGACCGGAGGTGAGAGATTGGGATTGCTGGGTATCGGGGGTGGGGGGCAGGTCAGGTTCACTGGGTGTCGGGGTTTGCAGGTCAGGATCGGGGTGCAGTAGCAGCTGGTACACCCACTGCATGCTGCCTGGTTCTACCCACTGCTCTGACTCTGCACTATCACGAGGATCAAAATCCCCTAAAAAATAAAACGCCGACCCGCACGGTTCCTCTGTGGCCCAGCTGAGGCTGACCCCGTCCAGCGTGGGAATAGCTGACAGAGCTGTCTCTGGATTACCTGTAGGAGCCGCACATAGCCCGGTCGCCATCCAGGAACATGAACTTCTGGGCTAAGGCACCTTTGAACTTCGTGGCCGAACGGGTGAAAAATTCCGTTCCCCCCGTGCAGCGAACGCGGAGATTCTGCAAAGCAAAAGCAAGGCAGCAGGTGGGAAAAGAGTCCCGTGGCCGGACAAAGATGCTTCTGGCCTGCCTCAGTGGACTCTTGTTTAGGGCTGAAAAATTGAGTCTCTCTCCCTGTTGATTTGCTCTTTTTTTAAATGGCCATTTCCATTTACTGCTCC